AAGCGGGTGTTGTCGCCGCGCGCGTACTGATAGCGGTGTTGTCGCGCGCGTTCTGATCAGCTGTGTTGTCGCGCGCGTACTGTAAAGCGAGGAGGGGGGGTTGAGCGTGCATACTCAAGATCGGTGTTGTTGCGCGCCTACTGAAGGGTGGGACGGAGGGTGTGTCGCGTTGCGGGGGCACTTTTGATCATTTTGGAAGGGCATTTTCTATCCAAGACTAAAAAGGGCATGTGCACTGCACAGGTTGAGCCCTATGTGTGCACGTGCCTGCAAGTTGGGGAATACGACTAAAAACAGTCATGGGGACTGCAGAAACACAGCACACTGTTCAGATTGATGCAGGCATTGACTTGTACCGCAAAGAGACCTCTATCTCACTCATGGCTTGTCCTCTCAAGTGGGGGAAAGACAATGCACAACGTCACCCACTGCTGTCAACCTTGGCCAAGTCATATCTCTGTCCCAGAAACCTCAGTCCCAAATGAGAGGGTTTATTTCTGTTTCAGGGGAAATTGTAAATACCCAGAGATACCAGCTTTTACCAGATTATAGTTATATGATAATTTTCCTTAAAACCCATCTCTATCTAAGTGAGTGAGTGAGTGATTAAATGTTGAATGTGATGAGTTTTCAACAATACTAAATTGAAACTTTTTTTTTTTTTACATGGTTTAATAATTTTTTGTTATTAAAATTGAAGTTCCTGTTTCAAAGCTTACAGATAGATGGCTAATTTGTATGTCATTGACACTTTTGGCACTTTTTTGGAGTATTTTTTTGTAGTTTTTTGTTTTTCCTGTAAATTATTTAATAAATACCGTACCGTGACATTCATACCGAGGTATTACCGTACCGTGAAATTCTGATACCGTTACATCCCTAGAATTTGGTTTCAGATCAATTGATTAAATTTATAAAAGGCTAGCCTTTTTTTAGCCTTTTTTATGCAATTAATAATGAAATAGATAACTAATTTCATTTATTTCCGATCAGACCCTGCACGTTTTTCTGTTTTACAATTTTATTATGTAGATATGCTTTTTTTTTATAACATTTGTTTAACAAATATTTTTGCACATCAAAAGTGTCACGATCACCAGTGATCTAAAACACCATAGATCGCTGGAAAACACTCATAAACGTTAATAGACTACAAATCCACCATTTCAAGGACTACAACTCCATACATGCACTTCGTTCACAAACACATGTTACAGATCCTGACTGATTACACTCCCACAGCTGAAGCTGCTTAAGGACTGATTGATGCACTACAAAGAGTACAAACACAAACAGTCATTGCTGAGTCTTGTTATCTGTTAAGTGACAATACAACGCATTTTCCTTTGTCTTGTTTTGTCTTGTTTTTTGATTCTTTTGATCCTATAACCACACCTCTGTTGTCAATGTCACATACCCTGATTACAGAAAGTAATGTAATAACACGTCTTTTGATTAAAAACTTTTGGCAAAGGATCAGGAATTGATCACGCGCACACAAAAAAAAAAAAATAATAATAATAAATCCAACACATGCATCCCCCTTATGCCACATTTTCCCGGATAAACTCGCATCTGAGTGCTACTTAGAATAAAACAAAGTTAGTACAAAGCTCATTTACGACTATACACATAAAATAAACATTCACAAAGATGTATCTTATGGAAAAACACCAAGGGACGGCCGCTGCTTTCGGATGTAAAAAAATTTAATTTGAAGAAAAGAAATGACAGTAATTTTGGAAAAGGAAAATAATAAACATATTGAGACTGTTAAAAGAACATTCTATTTTATATATTCTTTCGACTACAATACAACAGCTAAGATTATGAATGACTGAGTGTAAAGCCATCTCTCCTGCATACAGCTGTTTGTGAATGAGAACAGGGAGAGAATGCGCTGTTAAAGTTTCACCTCAAAATATTTACTAATAACTAACACTGAACTGCTACATCATGCTTAAAAAGTTAAGCTAAAATGCACAATTTTGGTTGCACCCGGGATGCCCAATGAACCCAACATGCCATTTTTTTTATTCAATTATCATGAAGTAGGCCTATGTAAACCAACCGCAGATGCTTTGTCATGTTGGTCGCTCCTATTTGCTTTACATCTTATTTTTAGTTTATTTCAATAATTACTTCTTAATAATCGGACAATGGAGTGAAGTGTTAATGATTTGTATTAGATGCTGACACTATGGCTGGGAAAATGTCCTGCAGGATGTGTGAGTGGATTGGGTTCAGATGGCAGGTACTGTAGTGGGATGAGCAGAAAGGAAAAGTTTGCATAGTTCCTCCAAAAGGATGGAGAAGGAGGAATGTTTTTTTGCTTTAGAAGGTGTTGTTTGACAGAGATGTGGAATGGATGTGATGAGAAACGATGATATGTGGGAATCTATACAAATTAAATAAATTAAATTTAGATATCATTTATCCAAAAAAATTTAAAGTAAGCAACATTTCAAAATATTGGAATGGTTTCAAATATAGGCTTCAAATAAGTTCAAATATATTAGCTACAGATATTTATATGTTCATTCATTCATTCATTCATTTTCTTGTCGGCTTACTCCCTTTATTAATCCGGGGTAGCCACAGCCGAATGAACCGCCAACTTATCCAGCAAGTTTTTACACAGCGGATGCCCTTCCAGCCGCAACCCATCTCTGGTAAACATCCACACACACATTCACCTGTACCATATGTCTTTGGACTGTGGGGGAAACCAAAGCAACCAGAGGAAACCCACGCGAACGCAGGGAGAACATGCAACCTCCACACAGAAACGTCAACTGAACCAAGGCTCAAACCAGCGACCTTCTTGCTGTGAGGCGACAGCACTACTTACTGTACCACTGCTTCGCCCTGACATTAACATATAATATATAAATAGTCCTACTTGATAACAAATCTTAATAACTAACCTTTCTATGAACATGATTTGATTATAGCTGCAAAGCAATGATAATGCAAAATTACATAAAATATTTTTTTAAAAATCATATATGAATGCATATAAAGCCTTTCAGTCTCTGAAATATTACGAATCACAAAAATACCCCTAAAATACATTTAGACCTTATTTGGGTTCATAAACTACACAAAACAGTCAATACAAACCTCTCATTTTTATTCTTCACCAGCATGTAACACTGACATATTGTTAAAAAGTTATTTAGTCATTAAGAGTTCATAATAGTTTAATAGATGATGACAATAATAATAAATTGCAGTTTGTCATGTTTTAGGTTGCTGAAAGAATCACCAACTCCTTTGTTTTTTGCGCTTCCCTCTCACATTTGTCCATAACTGAAATTATGTCAGAAGCACTTCAATAATCACGCGCACATCATTAGCATCATCTTAAGTTTGTTATTTAAAATTTAGATAAACGGCAAACACATGCAAACAGAATTCTCTATAGAAAGTGAAACTGCTCGCACTTTTAGACGGCCTTGTAAACAACAACAGATTCAGCTCTTTTTCTTGGCTTTGTGGCTGTTCTTTAAGATGAAAGGTTTGTTTGAGCTCTGGATGACCATGGTTCGTTATTATATGTATATACATTATTTTCCTTTGGAAAAGGTCCCCAAAACCTGTACGTTTTGAAAGTGGAAACGGACATAAAAGCGCACCGAATTATACCGTATGGTACCACTCAGCAGAAACAGGCCAAAAGATGGTGTTTCAGTACTGACATCCCCCTCCCCCAAGCAGCCACAGGCGGAGACTGCAGTCATTTCTTTTCAAAGATCAAAACTTATATTAGACATTCCAGCTTTCAAAACCTAATTTTAGGTTAGACTCAGTAGCTCTGATCCCCGAGAACTGCTGCAATCTGCAGTGAAGGATTCAGATTTATACCTGCTAAACAGTCTCAGCATGGATCAATGTTTATCCTTTTCTCATCATCCTGTTTCTCGTTATTTTTATTAAAGATGATTATTGAACTAATGAATAAGTTAACACACTGCTTTATATAAGAATGTTCAGTGCATTTGCCTGTCTCTTTGTAACTAATTTCAGGAGCCACCAAACTAGGTCAGAGGTCACGGAGACCTCGAGTGAAACTAAAGGGCTGAGGAGTGGAAGCAACTGTTTCTATTGTTATTTCTATTTCCATTTTTAAAGTGATTATACTTCTTATTCAAGATTAACTTTGAGTAGTAAAAATATAACTGCCTGAATGTAGATTATACCGTTTTTTAACCAGTTTTGATAAGGATGGCTGAGAGTACACACACACCCACGTGGAAATGCTACTAATGACGTTATGTGAGAGTATAATTGTTATTGATTTTTGAATGTAAGCAGAGCGGCCTAGGAACTCATTGCGAGTGTTAAAGCTGGCTTCAGTTGAAGAAACTGCAAACTATCTTTAGTAAACTTTTATTTATTTGAATCTCTGAATCTCTGGTTTTCTTCATCTGAAAGACTGGTCATTCTTTGGGTTAAAACTGTAAATAATCTCTAAAGCAGATATCTATGCTCGATAACAAACGTTGAACAAAGCATATTATGATCCCTTTAACACATCATCAGATAATGGAGATATTACTTCAGAGGTGTATTTATTAAATTAATTAAACTATGACCTTTATCAGATGGTTTAATATTTTCCAAATGTATAGGTGCATTTATATATTTAGAAACATAGTATTGATGAAGTGTTAAGCATGGACTCTTTGCACTCTTGCACTTTAGTTGTTCCATCTGGACAATGAATTTATGTGTGCGTTTTGTGTAGTCTTTTTTGCGGTTTGAAATTGTTTTGAATATTTGCACCATTAAAAAATTGATGCACTTAACCGGAGTTAGTTTAGTGTCTGAAACAATGCTTTTCGGGTTTTTAGAATATAAAATTTACATACTAGTTTGCTATTTACAATACTAGCTATGGAGTATTCCATCTATGTGTATATCTGAAAATATAACAGGCACAATTCCAAAGTATTGTAGAGGGTTAAAAATAGATAGTGCTTGTCTGCGCCACTCACCGCCAATCTTGGCATTATAAGCGATGCCCACCGTGCAGTGGGAGTTGTTGGCAGATGCTGCTACTTCACCAGCACACCTCGTGCCATGCCTGGACAGAACACATCAGACATTTGTGTTATTGACAAAATCAAACAAATTCACACCGCATTAATATTGCTGCCAACGAGAGCATCAAAATTCACTCTGGCTGCCCTGCCACTGACGCTCAGATTGAACATGTTAACTTGTTTTTTTAAATTAAATTATCCATTTAAAAACCATTTGTGTGATGAAGTGATAAATTTCCAGTGTTAGTCTAATTTCAACATGCAGCATATTGAAGATGTTTACACTTCTATAAATATTTGGATAATAACTAACAGTTAATAAATGCCCTTAAAAATATTCATTTATAAAATAGGGAGCTCCTAGCGAGTGAGACGAAGAAAATGGCAGCACATCGCCAAGGTAAAATCTGATGTATACATACATACATAAATATACATACATACATATATATACATATACATATATCCATATATATACATATATATATACACATATATATACATATATATACACATATATATATACATATATATACATATATATATAAATATATATACATATATATATACATATATATATACATATACATATATACATATATATATATACATATATATATACATATATATATATATATATATATATATACATATTGTCACCGACTCGGTCCCAGTCATTCCCCTCGCTGATTAGCAGAGGTCACCATCTCCGGACTTCTAACCATTACGTCATCCTTCTCACTCAGATCCCAGCACACCTGTTCTCCATCTCACTAATGACCCACGTACCACATATAAGCAGCTCACACACTCACTTCTTTGCAAAGTCTTGTTTAGCCCCGGCCAGCATTTCTGAGCGTTCTATCCTGCCTGATCTCCCGTTTACCACTTCAGCCCGTTCTTCTGCCTGCCCTTGACCTAAAGCCTGATTACACGGACTCTGATTCTCGCTGCCTGCCCCTGACTAAAGCCTGTATTACGGACTCTGAACCACGCTGCCTGCCCTTGACTCAAGCCTGGTAATCACTCTGCCTCTGTTATCTGCTAATCATCGTTGAGTTGTATGTTGTATGTTCGCACAACCGTGCGAGGTGTTGATGTTTAAGTGTGACTTAATAAATACTGCAAAATGGATCCCTCCGTGTCAGTCTCCCCGTTACAGAAGACTTTGCCCAACACGGATCCCGCAGCCATCCAGGTTTTGTCTCACGAAGTCACCACACAAGCTCAGGTATTGTCAACACACCAACAACAACTAACACACCTAACTCAGTTAACAGATGAACTGGTGAAATCCCTCCAAAACCTGCAAGCTGCTGCCACTGCGCAACCCACCGCCAACTACCCTCCAAGTCCACTTGTTGTTGCACAACCCCCGATGACTTCCGGAGTTCGATTGGCTTTTCCTGACAAGTTCTCAGGTAACCCAGCAAAATGTAAAGGCTTTCTATTGCAATGCAAACTGTTTATAGCCCAACAACCCCATCTGTTTAAGGACGAGAACGGGAAAATTGCTTTTGTGTGCTCACTGCTCACTGGGAAAGCGCTAGACTGGGCTACTGCAGTTTGGCCAGACAGTACCCCGATATTTCCCTCGTTTAATGACTTTCTCAAACGTTTCTGCACTGTGTTCGATCATCCGGAGGGTGGTCGTAACGCTGGCGAGGAGCTATTGTGTATCCAACAGGGAGATCGCTCCGCAGCTGAGTTCGCCCTGCAGTTCCGCACCTTGGCAGCGCAAACTGGCTGGGCTGACGATCCGCTTGTCACGCTCTACAGAAGGGCTCTAAAGCCAGAATTGCAGCGAGAGATGGCATGTCGTGACGATGGGAAAACTCTGGATCAACTAATCGAGCTTTCCATAAGGTTAGACACTCTCCTCCGCACTCGCAATCCGCTCTGCTCAATTGCTTCCAGTCCTGTATCCCCTGAAACCTCCGCTGAACCCATGCAATTGGGTAGAACCCGTCTGAACCCAGAAGAGCGAGAACGACGGAGAAGAAATCACCTGTGCATTTACTGCGGACTTCCAGGTCATACGAAGGTTTTATGTCCCAACAAGCCTCTCCCTAAGACCCTCTCGGTGAGTGCAACTACTATGTTCACTACCACTAATAATGTTGTGAATCTGCCTGTCACTTTGAGAGATGATGGAAACGAGATTGAGACTATGGCCATGATCGATTCAGGAGCCGCTGGTAACTTTATTGATTACACGTTTGCCACCACTCACTCCATTCCTCTAACCTCCTGTGATTCCTCCATAGCCATCACTGCTGTAGATGGGCGCCCTTTGGGAGAAGGACGTATAAAATTCCAGACCCTGCCAGTCTTGCTTCAAACAGGCTCTCTTCATGAAGAAGAAATTTCCCTTCTTGCCATCAACTCCCCTAAACACTCTGTGATTCTCGGGTTACCATGGCTACAAAAGCATGACCCTCAAGTCTCTTGGAGAACTGGTGAGATCATAAAATGGAGCAATCAATGCTTTACCCAATGTCTGCATCCTGTTTCCCCTATCCAGATCAACACAATCAACAAGACCGAAAACTCTGAACTCCATCATGTTCCTGATGCTTATCACGATCTAATTGAAGCATTCAATAAGCAGAAGGCTACTAAGCTCCCTCCTCATCGTGATAATGACTGTGCCATTGAGCTGCTACCCGGCACCACGCCCCCTCGTGGTCGCATATTCCCTCTCTCACAACCTGAAACTGAGGCTATGAAGAAGTACATCTCTGAGGAGCTAGAAAAAGGATTTATTCGACCATCTACTTCTCCCGCTTCAGCGGGGTTTTTCTTCGTCAAAAAGAAGGATGGCAGCTTACGCCCTTGCATCGATTACCGAGGCTTGAATGAGATCACGGTCAAATACCGCTACCCATTGCCATTGGTTCCTGCCGCCCTGGAACAACTCCGATCCGCCCAGTATTTCACTAAGTTGGATCTCCGTAGTGCATATAATCTCATCCGCATACGACAGGGAGACGAGTGGAAAACCGGGTTCTCTACAATTGACGGCCACTACGAATATCTCGTTATGCCCTTCGGCCTAGCAAACAGTCCTTCTGTGTTCCAGGCATTCGTAAATGAGATATTTAGAGACATGCTCAACAAATGGGTAATAGTATATATTGACGACATCTTGATCTATTCCAATTCGCTATCTGAGCATATCCAGCACGTTCGGGCAGTGCTCGAACGTCTCATTGAAAACCAGTTGTATGCGAAGAGCTCCAAGTGCGAATTCCACCAGACCTGCATCTCATTCCTTGGCTATATTATCAGTCCAGAAGGCGTGGCCATGGACCAACAAAAAGTTGACTCTGTGACACAATGGCCACAACCCGAAACCATCAGGCAACTACAACGATTCCTGGGCTTTGCTAACTTCTACAGACGCTTCATAAGGAACTTCAGTTCAGTCGCTGCCCCACTGACCGCCATGGTCAAAGCTAATAATGCTCGCCTTAAATGGAACCCCGACGCTGTCCGAGCATTTACCCAGTTAAAGACTCGCTTCTCCAGTGCACCTATTCTGCGTCATCCTGATCCCGAACAACCCTTTGTCGTCGAAATTGACGCGTCAAACACTGGAATTGGAGCCATCCTGTCCCAGCGATCCCTAGTGAATAAGAAGCTCCATCCCTGTGCCTTCTATTCTCGCAAGCTTAACTCCGCTGAACGGAACTACGATGTGGGAAACCGAGAACTCCTCGCCATGAAAGCTGCGCTAGAGGAATGGAGACACTGGCTTGAGGGCGCAAAACACCCTTTCATCGTCATCACTGATCACAAGAACCTAGAATACATCCGGTCTTGTAAACGTCTGAATCCTAGACAGGCAAGATGGGCGCTGTTTTTCACCCGATTTGACTTCCAAGTCACCTATATCTCTGGTTCGAAAAACATCAAAGCAGATGCTCTGTCCCGCCTCTCAGACGATGAGACCTCTGAAACCCCTGACGAGCCCATAATCAAAAGTCCTCTAATTGTCGCTCCCATCCAGTGGGATATCGATCAGGAGATCCTCCAAGCCGCCGAAAATAATCCTTCTCAGCAGCCCTGTCCGGAGAATAAAATCTTTGTCCCCCCGTCGCTTCGAGAAAGACTCATCTCCGAGGTACATGACCACCCCAGTTCCGGTCACCCAGGCAGCACAGCCACTGTGCAAATGATTCAATCCCGCTACTGGTGGTCATCCATACACAAGGATGTAATCAACTTCATTAACAAATGCTCACCCTGTCAGATGTCCAAACACTCCTGTCATCGTCCAGCTGGATTACTCCAACCCCTGGAGGTGCCACATCGTCCTTGGTCACACATCGCTATAGATTTCATCACCGATTTACCCATATCTCAGGGCAAAACCACCATCCTCACAGTAGTGGACCGATTTTCGAAATCCTGCCGCCTTATTCCCATTTCCAAACTGCCCACAGCCATGGAAACGGCTGAGTTACTCTGCGAGTGTGTGTTTCGGTACTATGGTCTCCCCGAAGACATCGTATCGGATAGAGGTCCCCAGTTTACATCCCGACTCTGGTCAGCATTCTTCAAAAATCTCCAAATCAACGTTAGCCTAACATCCGGCTATCATCCCCAATCCAACGGGCAGACAGAGCGCTTGAACCAAGAGATCGGTCGATTCCTCCGCACGTATTGTCACTCGTCCCAGAACGAATGGGCCAAATTTTTGATGTGGGCAGAATATGCTCAGAACTCCCTCAGAAAGGCATCTACTGGATTAACCCCATTTCAATGCGTGCTGGGCTTCCAACCTCCGCTCTTTCCCTGGTCCGGCGAGACCTCTGAACTCCCTGCGGTGGATACCTGGTTTAAAAACTGCGAAGAGGTCTGGAACGCAGCTCATACTCACCTCTCTCACGCCATAAGGCGTTTCAAGGAACAAGCCGATCGACACCGACGTCCTGGTCCCATGTATTCCCCAGGACAATGGGTATGGCTTTCCACCCGCGACTTACGCCTCAAGCTGCCCTGCAAGAAACTCAGTCCCAGGTACGTGGGTCCTTTCCA